GGTCCGGTCCGATCCAGGTTTTGTCAATGCCGTGGAAATGTTCCATATCACAAGATCTTGACCAAGAAAGAACCAATCAGAACAATCGGATTTATCTCAAGACTATGTTGCGTACTAACGATGGTTTCATGACAAGATTACTCTGATAAGTAGTACTGTCTGATGAATTAACCATAGCAAAAATTATCTTAGACAATCATTTGTGTCCTGTATTTCCACATTAGGTTCCAAGAATCATGCATCAATCATGTAGTGTTTATTGTTCTCTTTGTAGGGCCATATAGTTTTAACAGACTTCGGACTTTGCAAGGAAGGAATAGAACCTGATGGAACAACATCAACATTCTGTGGAACTCCTGAGGTAGGCAGGGCATGCATCAATTCAGGTTTCATCAAGGTGTGCTGTTAGCTCTTTCCCAGCAAGGAATTGTCAACCTGCGATCTTTCCCTCTACGCTGTCTTCTTATTTCTTCACCGGTTAAAACAAAGCAAAAAAGTAACACCTGGTTGCAGGGTATTGATAATTTGCAATCAGTATTTTGTAACTGAAACAAGTCTTTAAAAGTATAGAGCTTATAAAGTCCTAAAGTAGCTATGTTTTGGTTTTTTGCGCATATTGAAAAGTTTAGCCTCAATTTTTCAAATTCATCATTTGTAATCTTCTCAATCCTTAGCCATCCTTGTTCCTTTGTGGTTTATCATTATCTCTTTGGTGTTTTTCTATCTTATTAAACGGTTATTTTCAGGTTTCCTACTATTTAAAGGTAATTTTGTATGTGGCCAAAATAACTCAAAATACTGTGACTGAACCCCTTAAGGCCAGTAACATAAGAGACTGCTCATAGCACAATGTCCAGTCAGTCAATGCATCAATCTAGCATATTCTACTTAGTTCTAAACCAGCATTGCTGAAGAATGTTAAGGGAGTCTGAGATGGCTTAATATTGGTGTCCATGCCTATGTAATAGAGGTCAGTCCTCTGGAAGCAGGTTTGCTTAACAGTAAATGTGGAAAGAAAATTAAGGGACCCAATCTGGCATCCACGTAATAGATGGTATCTGCTTGATATAGGTTTTCCTGTAGCTGTTATTAACCTCTTGCCATGTTTGCTCAGAAAAATAGAAAATAAGGCCCTGATGATTGTAAATCAACATTTGTGTCCAATTTCCCTTCCATTAGTCATCCTTGCAATTTAAGGTTGCATTTTTCAATTTTTTCTGGTTTGCAGTACTTAGCACCAGAGGTCCTTAGAAAACAAGAATACGACAAAACTGTAGACTGGTGGTGTCTTGGTGCAGTCTTATATGAAATGATGTATGGTCTGGTAAGAAACATAAAATGGTTATTGCTACTTTGTAGGATTGTTTTGTCAAAAATGCACTGAAATCTGTTCATGTGGTGTGTAAATGATTAACAGTTTGTACTGCTTGTTTTTATCACAGCCCCCTTTTTACAGTCGCAACACAGCTGAAATGTATGACAACATTTTGAATAAACCTCTACGTCTGAGAACGAATATTTCCCACAGTGCAAGGCATATCTTGGAAGGGGTTAGTATAGTATATATGTAGGCACAGTTAAGAATACACCTCATCAGGATTTCTGCAGCAGAAGCTGCAGAACTGGTTACAATAGTCCTGTAGGTACAGTTTCCCAGGGGAAATGAGTCATCTGGAGTTTAACATGATTTTGGTGATGTTTGGGCTTGGGTTAAGGTTACAAAAAATTTTGATCTGTTGTGTTTTAGTGAAAAGAGCCCAACTGTATATGAACTTATTTACACCTTGTGGATGAGGTGATCACATAACTGATATCAGTAGCTAGGGCAACTGACTAACTAACTGTAACTAAATGTTGTCCACTTTGACCTGCAGTCTCTGATATGCCTGCATGTACATTTTGCCATTAGTTGTGCTGGTGCTTTCTGTGTATACCACAGTGTAAGTAAGTATAACTTACTTCTTTTAAATCAGTTCATATATTTTTTTTTTGGCTCATAGCTTCTTCAGAAGGACCGCACCAAGAGATTTGGACAGGGGGAAAATGATTTTGTAAGTAAACTAACTATTAATAGTCCTTATTTTATTTTATATTATTTTTACATGTGTTTGGTATGGGTTTTTTGGTCAAGCTTATTATCAAATAGTCAAATACAGAGTACTCTCTTGTACTTTTTCGTTAACCAACATGAAGGACAGCTGATGTATTTCTAGTCATACTAAAAAAAACTGGCGGCTGTCGTATTAGTCAAGCTTTAATAATAATATTGCAGAGTAATGTAATTTCATCATAGTTCTGAACTTTGCTCATGTTCATAGCTGGATCAGTAGCCGGAAGTCTGCATCTTTCTCAAGTAACCAACTGAAGTAAAAATTAACTTTAAAATGATTGTGCTTCTCAACAGGAGGAAATCAAGGGTCATCCATTCTTCTCGACAATTGACTGGCAGCTTTTGTATGACAAGAAGATTGACCCACCATACAACCCTAATGTGGTGAGTGTAATTGATAATAATAGTTTTGCAGCCTGTAGTATTGGAAGCATCACTTTCCTGACTGAATTTTACGTATTTGAGTTTAAGCCTATTATCATCGTCATCGTCATCGTCATTGTCATCATCATCATCATATTTATCATCATTTATTTGCCATTTAGCTACCATTATATCATGTCCATGTGTGAAACACAGGAAAAAAAAACTAAGTAAAAATAAAAATTGACTAACTAACAATAGATTCCTTTGGAATTTTGCAGAAAATTCCTTTTTTTCTTGCTTGGAGGAACCAACGTAACACTTTCCCTAAGAATACAAAGGCAATTAAATAATTAATTGATTACAAATTAGTTAATCAATTCAAAGATTGTTAATTATACAACGCAAATCAACTGAAAGTGTTGAAGTGTATCAAAACAGTGTTTGTTGCTATGGTGATTTTACCAGTGCTATTTGTTTTTCAACAGAGTGGCCAGTTGGATCTAAAACATTTTGATCCCGAGTTTGTCCGTGAACCTGTTCCAGGTTTGTATTTCTCAAATGAATCAATGAAGTATTTCTGTCCAAAGCTGTTTCCTTTTTTTATGAAGGTCTGTCAGTAGACGTTTGACTCAGTGATATTAGATGTAAGGTAATTCCTTCAGTTAGTCTACAGGTTGTACATGGTTGTATGTGCATGTGATGGGGAAAACAAGAAGACTTAAAAAAAAAATGGGGTCTGCCGTGCACACGTAAATCACAGCTAAATTTCGAAGCAGTGACTATGAAGTTATTAATATTTTGTTTATGCACACAACACAAGGAATGTTATATCAAAAGGATTTTACTGAAATTAACTCGATGGTACATTTACTTTTTTACAGGATCTGTTGGTAAATCTGCTGACTCAGCTTTCTTGAGTGCCAGTGTCGATGATCCAGATGATGCATTTGTAGGCTTCACATATGTTCCTCCAACAGATCTTACTGAGTGATAGCAACTAACCGCAGTACCAGTACAGAGACAGTGAGAAGAAACAGAATTGTGAATCCATTCTAAATCTATCTTAATGTCAAATCACTTGTAACAAATTGTAATTAATCACATATTTTCTGTTTGTCAAGATTTCATAACAGAAGGGGGTTTTGGAGTTAAAAGAAATCAATACAGCCCACTTTGGCTTCACTGACTGTGGTTAATGGGTATGATAGACGCAGAGGAGACCGGGAAAACAGGGAGACTGAGAACGAACAACACAGTCCCCTTGCCTAGTCCCCTGACTCCCTGCTCCCAAGTCCCCTCTCCCTAGTCCTTATTCATTTTGTTGTTTCCTTGTTGTCCTTGGTTGTCTTGTTTTATCCATTTTCCGCAATCTGTGAACTTGGTGAAACAATCTACACACATCCATTACAAGCATTTACCATTCTCTGAGAAAAAAAGGGAAATTTTCTGTACTTAATTAATTCGTAAAAGATTTTGTTCCGCTGTAAGCTGTAATTTACCCTGGCTCGAATGATAATGAGACAATGTTGCCTTCCTTCCTCCAGTCATTGGAAACAAATTAAAAATAATGTCCACTTTGAAAATAAATATTGTGCATAAATTATATGTTTGGTTAATTTATGGGGATTAATTAATTCTTGAACATTTGAACCCTGAATATGTAATGAGGTACAAAATTATCAATGGGTAATTTAATATTGTTGTTTATGTTTGTGATCTAAAGTTTTACGTTTATCTCAATATTCTGTTAAAGCTAATGTCTTAAATGGTGTAATTTCTCATTATGTTGTAGTCTTGGTTGTCCTGTCGAAGAAACTTCCAAACATATCTTGTCACAGGAATTAAAAGCGATTTATCAAAATTCTCGCTAATATCATTTGTTTCAATCTATCATTCTTACTAAAAATTCTGAAACCTGTCATCCTTAACCAGTTTTCAGTTTCCTCGTCGTTAGAGGTAAGCCTCATATCTGTTCTATTTTTATCCTGTTTGCTCGAATATATTTTTTGACCTCAAACTTGTTTTATTCATGTACCAGATGTGTCTCAAGTGCGCCACAAGCCATAATGTCAGCATGCAAATTCTCATTTCTAGTATCCATACAGTTTGAGTGATATTAGTGAGGAGAATTTATTAACAGGTGCCAGAATATTTTTGTGTGATCGTTTTGATCATTCTTGTTAGCTGTACAGTTTTTTTGGTGATATTGTGGAGAGCTTAGCTAGACTGTGTAATCGTTTGTCTCATGCTGCAGTGACTTGGTATGTTAAGCACAACCCGATTTTCATCTTAAGTGCGATTCGTATTCCAAGTGACGACATCGTGAGACAAAAGATACTTGGTTATCACTGTACCTTAAGCGCAATCAACAACAAAAATCTTTTTCACGAGAACTTAGTTGATCATTGCTGGGGGTGAAAGTGTGAAAGTGTTACTGTAGTGAAAACAATGTCCATTACTCTGTATACCATAATATGTGATACAAAAATTGTGAAATATGAAATACTTCAATACTGACAAAGAATAAAATAAACCTGGAATGGTTAACTAGCTGCTATTGTCTTTGTTGTAAATAATCCTGCATGCAAGGGAGGTGGTGTGTCGCGGCCGATTTGTCATGCTTTTAATAATTATGGCTGGCAACTTCCTAAGCTACATCATGGATGGCTACATCTACATTTGTTATCTGGAAATGGATGAAAAGGGAAAAATAGGAAGTAAATGTAACTGAATCACTATTGGGATACAAAGGAGAAGAAACTGGCTCTAAACACCTCAACACTCGCTTGGTCTATCTCTTGAGCAGGAAGTGTGTTGCACTAGACCTACTGGGGTATAGTTCTTACCTAACACCTGAATTCTATAGTTATTGAAAGCGGATAAGTCTCAAAGGAGCTTCATTGTTTCCGCTACTGTTTAGTTAACAAGTTGTATGCATAATAGGCCCTTTGCAGCTGGGGTCACGTGACCAAATTTTTCCTATAAAATTTTTATATTATGGCCTTTAACTTAAAGAATGCCAGAAATGGAAAGA